CACTAAATATATGGGTAAAAACCCGTTAATAAATAATTAATTACATTTAGTTTACAAATTGTCCTATAATGGTTTAGGATGTTAGAGTTACCATTGGATTAGGTAACATGGCGACATATGACTCCACGTTGAAGTTGCTAGTCTTGAGACAGTGTGTCTACGAAGACTGTATGGGAGCAACTCAGATGCTTTCAGCTTTCAGCTTTCAGTTGCTCGTAGACAATGGGACGTAGAGGAATATCGGGTTTATGTATTTTGGATAGGCCATAATATATTATATTCGATGTGTTCTGGAAGACTTTTCATGAGGAATAAGATATTGTTTTATGTCAACAGGAAGAGAGGTTTTATTGATAATTTTTCGACTGTTCTAACAACCATTCAAATTTCATCATTTTGTGTCATGTGGAACAATTTCACCCAATCATGTCAACATTAGACTGATAATTGCATTCAGTGCAATTTTCAATCCCTATGACAACATGATTGAGTTTGACAACTTAAATTTAAATTTTGAATCTAATGTTAACTTAAATTTTAATAATTGTACTTTCACTAACTGTACTTTTAATAAATAAATGTTTCGTTATGTTGAGTTATGATTTTTTTTTTCGAAAAATTATTCGCCGAATATCCTTCGGACATTGATGAATGCCTCATAATTTCATGACAAATTTCTCAAGCTCGTTGCTTGGTAACAGCCTTCGGCTTCGTGCTGTTACCAAGGAACGAGATTTCGATTGTCATGAAATTATCTCGTCTGTTATCAATGTCCTAGTGATATTAACTGATAATGACTTTTGTTGTTTTCTCCAGATTGGTTCTTAGATTATTAGGAATTGGTGTGTAGTCTTAAGTATTATTGAGACTTAAAGTTTACTAATGCAAGAAAAAGTATTTAGAATGACGGTGGCATTACCTCTTTAGGCCGGAAGAATGATCAAATTTGGATTTGACTGAAGTTCTTTTAGAGCTTTTTTCTCGGATTGTGTAATGTTCGAAGTAGGGGGCTTTGAGTTTCTAAGAACTCTAGTGATGTCTTGTCTAGATGTTTCAGCATATTCGGAAGGTAAACTGGAGATGACTTCTTCAGTTGAATATTGAAAATATTGATATATTATGTGATATTTAGTTTTCGTCTAATGGAATAAATAGCTCTACTAAGAAGCGCAAAACTGGCCTTTCTAAGGATCTGGGGATAGAAAAAGAAAAAGTTTGGTATTTGAGGTCTAAAAATTTGGAAATGACTTTATGGTTTCGACAGGCTTTAAGAAATGTTAAATTACAAAGGGGACGATTCTTACGTAGCAGCAGATTTTTATATGATTTAGTGAGCTGGTAAAATTTCTCCCAGTAGAAGCAAAAATACATGTAAACTTGGAAATAAAATGAATACTACTGCAAGAACTATCTTCCGGGTTGAATCACGTCGATTATCATTGCGCCTAGTCTTCAATATTCTTTTTGATCTCTTCGTCAGGGCTTCCGAGGCCTTAGCGTGCGTTCATGACGAGGCGCGGACCCTCTTTTGGGCCATGGGATGGTATCATTTAATCGATTTTCGGTAAAATAAATGCATTACTTTAAATGCGAGAGTTCACCGTCAGTGCTATGCTCTAGGCCAGGATACGATACCATTGTCTTCGTTATGAACGCACCCAAAAGTCTACCGAGCTCCCCGACACTACTACAATGATCACTAACCAATGCATTACTGGGAGTACTGGTCGATGGTAACGTTGTTTTGGGTGAAGTTTGGCGTGGGCGTTAGCGTGAGGATTATCATCGATTATCATATTTATCATCGATAAGCAACATTGCGAAAAGAGTCATATTAAAAAAACTCAACGACGAGTCTCAAGCACTACGCACTATACCAGAAACTTAATTCGGGTTCAGACGCGAACACTCCTGTGAACTACAGGTACTACGACTCACAGATTTTATACTGAAAGGATTTAACTAGAAAATGTATACAGCAACAGCTTTTCTGGACGTTAGTAAAGCATTTGACAGAGACTGGCACCAAGGACTCATTTACAAAATGAACGGAATGGGATACAGCGAAGCGATCGCATGCCTCCTTGCGTCATACCTAGCCAACAGAAGATTCAGAGTTCGAATAGGGGTAATCCTGTCCAAAGTCGGGACCCTGGACGCAGGTGTGCCTCAGAGAGCTGTGCTAATGCCGTACCTGTACACCATCTATACGGCAGGCACGCCAACAGAACCAGGATCTCTGTTAAGTCTTGACGCTGACGACACAGCAGTAGCTGTTAGCTGGAGAAACCCGGATCATGCAGCTAATCATCTGCAAAGAGCACTGAATAGATTCCAAAGATGGTGTGTAAAATGGAAAATAGCCTTAAACCCAGACAAAACACAAGCTGTAATGTTTAGACATAGAAGAAGTATACCAAACCGAGAAATCACGATTGCAAACACTCCAGTAGAATGAACCAACCAGGCAAAATACCTAGGAGTGTTACTAGACAGGAAACTAATGTTTATGGAACGTATCAATCAACAAATGTACAAAGCCAAAGCGCTGAAAAGTCAGCTCTCAACACTTATAGGAAGAAGAAGCAAACTAAGATTCAAAACCAAAATCAGGGTTGCAAACAGCATCATCATACCAGTCCTATCGTATGCCTCTGCTGCGTGGGGACACACCTGCAAATCTAACAGGAAGAAGATACAGACTACCCAAAACCAAATAGTCAGAGACGCCCTAAAGGTTCCAAAATACGTCCCTCTGAGATACGTTTATAGAGACTCGGAACAGAAAAGAATACAACGCACGCTAGACGAGCGAGCATACGATATCTTTAACGGACTAAGAAACGACCCCAGCAGAATGCTAAGAGAGCTGACTAACTGCAATGAAAACATCCGGACGGTATACAGAAGACTTAAACAACATATAGCTGGATATAGGGAGAACCCAAACAAATAAGTAATGAGTGAGATGGTCGCATAATCGTCAAACAACAGGATGCAGAGAGACAGGAAACAAACCAAAAAAACAGGTCTCTGGCGAGAGGGTACAGGTACTTAGGTATTTAGTTAAGGACAATATACACGGGGTGTGTGATGGCCCTATACACCCTGAAATTCACACCCGAACTACACGCACACATTAGGATTAGGAAAAAAGGGTAAGAAATTGATGTCCAGGCATATTATATTTTCGAAGCATCAAGGAAGACCCACAAAAACACAAAAAAAAATTGTTTTCTGTCTAAATCAATTAAGTTTCCACACTATTTTGAAATTTTCATTCTTACGATTATTATAACGTAAATTTAATATCATAGACCAAATATAGAAGGCCCGTCAGGCCTTCTATATACCGCATATGCGGATTTGGCCCTTAAGGCAGATCAAGTGAATCTGATCAATCGCGGAATCCGAGCACTTAGATCATGTGCGGCATACATCGGCTTGGTGCCCGGACCCTTCTCGGGTACTCAGTCGGTGAGAAGAACAAAATTTATTTTGTCAGATCGTCGGCTGAGTGACCGGGTACACACTTTTTTCCGAACACAGAGTCAGTAGCTCAGGCTGACGGATCTGTGGTCGGAACACAGGCTTTTTTCCTTTTCTTTTAGGGACTCAAGTCCCGAAGTGAAGCTAGAGTAACTTCTATATAATCTGTAAATAGGGAGTAAAGCTTACATGTGGCTACTCCTACAGTTGGGTGGCCTAACTACAGTCGATAAAAACAGAGGGTGTCTCATTACCCAGGGCACTTTAAGTAACTTTCAGATCATAAGCCTCCTCACGTAAGTCACACGATGAGGAGTGGTGGAGGAAAAGCCTGGGGGTCAGATAGGTACTAGTCAACTAGTGAAATGTGACCGGTTTGATCTTCGGACATGTGGATCCCACTCTTACAATGTTATACACATGTTCCTTAGGGGCAAGGTTGATCACTGCGTGTGTGTGTGTCTTTAGAGTGAGGATTGGCGCGTGGGTTGACGTGAATATTTTTGACAATAGAATTTTGATTGGCGGGTGAAGCGGACAATATCTTCTTTATGAGGGGTCTCTCTTTTCTATCATCTCTTTTATTGAGACAATTTGGCCTTTTTCAACTTCTATGGCTTCTCGCATAATTCTTGGTTTACAGAAGTGGATTGTCGCTATAGTTCTACAGTTTTTAAATTCAATTTTGTGACCTATATGAAGATAGTGTTAACGTAAAGCTAAAACTAAATTGAAATTTCGAACTGACATTAAATGTTCTTAAATTATATTTTGCATTCTACGATTTGTTTGACCTATATAGGACCGGAAGTAGTCTGCACAAAAATGTTTATAAACTAAATGTTGTTCATTTGGAATTTTATCTCTGATTGATCAGTCAAGAGATAAAAGTTTGTAATGGGAGGGAAATATTATCTTTATTGCATCATATTGGTCTACTTGCATCATCACGGCTTCTTTAGTTTGACATATGATTGTCTCAGTTTGAATGTGACTTGTGGTAACAGAGTAATAAAGCTTGAATGGCAATGGTCGAAATAGGGGTATAAGAAAAGTTATGATTCACTGTAGTGGGTTTTAAACGGTTAAAACTGTCCTATACTATGGGATGTACATTGAAAGAATGCATAGATGACCAGCAATTAAAAAAAAGTATGGTGTTTGAGTTTTAGAAATGTGGGAATGACTTTATGGACTTCAAAAGTTCAGTTTTATCTGCCACTCCGACGAAACTCTGTTTGGACTGCACTATGAGACATATATTAATTATCTTCCATTAGATACTTAAGTGAAAAATTGCTTCTGTAAATATACTACCAATAAAATGAAATTATAGTGTCTACTTCGTCAACTTAAAATTATCAGGATTCGTCGGGGTCAATATGTCTATAAATACATGTCTTAATCATTATATATGATAATAATTTAATGTTATTTGTTTTACTACAAATGAGTAACCGGTCAAAATTCATCTGTGTTTTTAATTATTGCAATAGTACGCAACAAGTATTTAAACTAGATATTGTGAGGAACTTATACATTTGATAACTGTGATTACTTACTGAACATGAATGAACGACTAGTGTTAGTGTTGTGTCTTATATTGCCTTTCTCAACATGCCAGGATTCTACGTGTAACCTGTTTCAGAAGTATGTGCTTTTTAAAGACGAATGTCCCAGTGAAGAAACAAATGAGGTCGAACAAAAGAGTAGTTGTAGCTATTTTCAGAAATATGTCTTATGGAGGAAAGAATGTAATGAGGTGCCGCAGGTCAATACTACTTTTACAAAATGTAATAGAATTCAACAAAAACTGTTAGGACAAGAATACTGTAATTACATTCCAGACCAATATTTAGATGTGGTAAGAAAATTTATATTATATGAAAAATATAGATTATTTGTAGGCTTAATTAAACAATGGATTTGAAGAGAATATTTAAATAATATATAAATGATAAATTAAAAAAAATTGTTTGATATATCTATTGGAATTAGAATAATAGTTTGATTGTGTCTGATGTTTTTCCTTTATTGTTTTTCACAAATAACGGTAACATTATATTTTATTTTGATTTTTTTAAGCTGTTTATATAACGACTTATATGTGATTGTGACTTGCAACGTTAGAAATAATCTCTTATAGTCCCGTTACTGAGGGTTTTTACCTCCGAATTCTTTATAACTGAATCGATTTATTAGACATTTTGTGTGTTTGTAAATAATTACTCAAGGAACAAATTTTACTCAAGTCATAAGGGTGGTTGTAAGGGTTGAAAATTTCCAATAAATAAAATAATATTGTATAGCTAGGGTACTAATTTTTATAAATACATAATTGAAATGTCTCAAGCTTCTACGACTTTTTTTCATATTATTTTTATAAATGTATTAGCTTTTAAGGGTTTGAAATTGTGAATAAATAATTTTCATATTAGAGAACACATTACAATATTTACCTTATGCGAATAAAGAAGATTTAAGTGCATAAACTAATTAAATCCGTGTTTTCCCCAGTTTCTTCAATAAGGAGTAGTTTTCACCCCTTAAAAACAAAAAGCGCACCTAGAGCGTATATAACTTTTGAAGTGGAGGGTAAGATAAGCTTAATTTGAAATTTTCAAAGAAATCGATGCAGTTATAAAAAATTCGAAGGTATTACCATATCTTAAGCCTCAGTAACTGGAGTATTATTGTGTATTTTACTTGGAATTAGAACACACTCTTCAACTTATTGAATTTATTCTCTGTTTCATTTTCATATCACTAATATATGTTTTTAAAATAATAATTTTGAAAAATGTTATAAATTTTAAATAATGAAGTGACAATTATATCCCTTTAGTTGCTGCAATTATGTGCTTAAGATAGTAACTAAGATATTAATATATAACTCGCTTTACAGTATTATTCCACAGGGTACTTCTGTTAACTCTGCCGGATTATGGTGATATTTTTTTGTACCTTTCCTGAACCCATTCTGATCTTTCAGTAGCAATACGTCACATATTGTTTTAAATCTACGATTTATGATATCTAGTTTATAAGCAGAGTTTGTATGGATAGGGTATAGATAACGTGATGACTCTATAGTTACCTTACATGTTACGGTATCTTTTATATATAAAGGTATCACCTCTATAGTTTTTTATTCACTTACACATTTTCTATTTGTAACATTTATTTAATAAGCATTATATTCTACAATGTAGTTTTAAGCCTATATATTTTAATAATTTTACGTTTAACGAATCTCGGCTTGATTCTTTGCGGTTTTTCAAATATTTTAGGGTCTCGTGTAGTTCTATTAATGTTATCAGATCACCTGTGTAAGGCTTTAACTGTAATCTGAGTCCGTTTTTATATTTACTCTTTGTGCATCTTAGTATTTTCCATTTGCTTCTTTTTCTGTCGATATTTCACGAAAGAGCGCTTCTAGGTGTCTTGGTCTATTATACAGGGTGTTTCAAATAGGTATGTCATAAATTAAATCACGCATTCCGGGGACAAAAAGAAATTGATTGAATCCAACTTACCTTAGTACATGAGTGTACACAAAAAAAGTTACAGTCCTTTAAAGTTACAAAATAAAAATTGTTTTTTTGAATTATCTCCTAAACTACTTGACATTTTGTAATAAAAATGGACACGTTACTTTCTTGGTCTGAAAGCATTTTTCATAAAAAAGAAACAACAAAATCTAAGGGCACAGAAAAATTTTAAGGGGGTGTGCATCCCTAAATCCTCCCAAACTTCTGAGTACGTTCAAATGTACGTTTTGGGGTTTATGAAAGAAAAAGTGTATTTTGTAACAATAGAGGACGAACAACAATTGAGGGTTAGAATAATTGAAGCTGCAAATCAATTTCGTCAGAAAAGTATGATGTTTCAGCGCATTCGATTTCCCTTATTAAAACGATACCGAATGCGTATTGAAGAAAATGGGGGTCATTTTGAACATTTATTGTAATATCATATTTAGAGAGGTTGTGGATATTTTTTGTACTTGTTAATTCATTTAATCCATTTATTTAGTTGCACGTAATTTTTTAAAGGTTAATGAAAAGGCCGTCACTCAATAAAAACTGTTTTTTGAAAAAAGTGACGAGAGGCAAAAATTTTTTAAAAATAATGTGGTCAATTAATTAATTAATAGATTTTGTTGTTTCTTTTTTACGAAAAATATTTTCAAAACAAGAAAGTAACGTGTCCATTTTTATTACAAAATGTCAAGTAGTTTAGAAGATAATCCAAAAAAACAATTTTTATTTTGTTACTTCAAAGGGCTGTAACTTTTTTTGTGTACACTTTTGTACGAAGGTAAGTTGGATTCAATCAATTTATTTTTGTCCCCGGAATGCGTGATTTAAGTTATGACATACCTTTTTGAAACACCCTGTATACGTAAGCAGTGTTTATTTTTTGTTTGTTAAGTTGTCACAACAATTTAAAAGCTACATATTGTGTCCCATGTATCTAATTTTCAACAGTGCCTTTTTCTTACTTGTTAAGTTCTCGCATTAGTTTATAAGCTACATCTTGTCTCTGATGTATACCATTTTTATTATTTGTGATTAGTGTATTGCTTGTTAATTTTTTTGATTAGTTTTTCTTACGATAACTTTGTATTAATTGCATTTTTCTACAGATTTTTAGTTTTGTTTTTGTATTGTTCGTTTCGGGGAATATTATTATTTACAGTGAAAGCCAAATAAAGTTGCGTTCACGTCATCATTGTGAACATTTGCAGCGTTGTCAGATAGTTCATGAAGTATGAAAATTAACAGAAACTAGCTGAAGTAAACAAAAAAGGTAAAGGTAGCAAATTTTACACTATATTAAACGGAATTTGAAAGTGAGTGTTTTTTTTTTCATTTGTTTTTTGTTATTTACATTCATGAATAGATTTCACAAGCAATAAAATAAAATATTGTTTAATATTGTACATATTTTTTAAGAAAAAACATGACATTAAAAAAAACAACATCAATAAACTAAACATTTTCTGAATCTGATTACATATTAGTGTCACTCTCTCCACTATTAACATTTATTACTATTGGACTAGTTTCTTGACGATCAAATATTCTTTCTCTCTCATACCATGTAAATATTTCTCTTTCAGTATGATTGATAGAGTTTTTCCACATATCAGGAGTAATCATGTAAAGTGCCTCATGCCACATGTTTAGGCAGTTGTTAGCGCTGTTACTATTTCTACCAATGTGCCTATTGTAATAATTTTTTACTATACCGTAAGTTAATTCAATAGGGTTAAAGATACAATGGTGAGGAGGAAGACGTAAAACTTTGTGTCCATACCGTTCTGCCACATCGTCCTCTATATACTTGGTTTGTGGTTTATTTCTAAAATGTTTAAAATAAATTACATTTACATGTAAGATTATATCTGTATATTTACTGAGAAACGATGCGCAACAGTTCTATTTTGAACATCATATGAGAATAGGGAATGTTTTTTTTCTGTCAACCACTCCTCAATAGCACTTTTTGACCATCCTGTATTCGGAGTCTGATGCAATAACATACTGTGATAAGGTGCATTATCAAGTACAATTAGAGAAGGATTCTTTAATTTTTGCAGCAACTGATATTCAAACCGTTTCAAGAAATTTGCCTGGTTCATTTCCTAATGATAATCACTAAGTTGAATTTTTGAACAACATATTGCTTCAGCACCCTATATAAATCCGGTTTCATTTTGATCATGGGGTATAATATATCTGCAATGAAATTATTTAAATGTTCATATAACAACTTATGTTAATACAACAAACCTTTGGCCATCCGTTTTAGTGGTTTTAACTCTCTTTATATTTTCATCTTGCCAAGAATGACCAATGATCCCATTTTGAAATATCCAGATTTGAAGTTTGATCGAGAAACACGAATTGGTATATACCTTCATCCTTCGCTTCTTTACATGTTCTTAAGAATTGTACTCTTTTTCAAACAATGTTAGGTAATTCCATAAGTCCTCGTCGTAGATTATCCTTCATCCACTCAAACCCAAGTTATTTGAGCAATCTTTTTAAAGAAATGGTACTACCTTTAAATAATTCTTTATCTTTCAGTTGGGACCACAATGATTGAACCGTTGCGTGCTGTTCTAAAAGCATACAAAAATAAAATTATGTTAACTGTATATTTGTTGTAATCATACTTTTCTAGTACATATTGTAAATGGTATTACGAATAGAGCTTGTATTTAAAGTTGTTGTATTTGTTACTCGTTCATTAGTGCAACGCTTTCTCTTGGTGACTCGAAATGTTCACCTTTTTTCTGCATTTGACATATGCTGCTTACTGTTCTTATACTGATTTTTAAAGCAGCAGCTACACGCTAAAATAATACAAATTTTTGTAAAGTAAAGTAATGATACTTTCTTCGCATGATATCTCTTGTACAGCGTTTAAGGGTAACAAATGGCCATTATTATTCATTTCTTCTTCAAAATAGTTAACTAATGAAGCAACAAGTTCTTTGCATCTACTATTCAGCTGTGTTGTTCGGTGGTTTGGGCATTTTGACAAATAAATAAATGTTTTTCACAAGATAACCTCAAAAATCGATGATACCACGAGTACAAAAGTCACAGACACAGAACACTGATTGAACACTCAACAAACCACGCGGCAACATGACAATATTTCTGGTAGTGACTAATCCTCCATCATTAATTAGTGGTTTCTTCATGAACATTTCAACAAAAAATTTTACAATGAGGGAGGTCTAAATCCAAAAAACTATATTGTATATACATTATTTTATTACAAAAGTTTTTTATTGATCGGGCTATTTTTAGAAGTGATTGTTTAGCAAACTAAAGTAACATACTCTTTTCTATAAAAATGTGGTCACACATATAATAGAATTACGACCTTGGTGACCTGCACGCAACTTTATTTGGCTTTTACTGTATGTTGTTTTTCTCTTACTGAATTTTCCATTTCTGAATTTAAGATATTCAGTCAATTTTTCTTTCTTATCCTTTTTCTTATTGATTTAATTGCTACTTTTTTAATATATCATTTTATATTGGAACATTCTAAAAATATATTACTGCCTGTTATCATATGTTTTTGACGTTGTTGTTGCAATTTTGGTTGATATAAATGTCTTATGTTATCTTCTTGGAAATACCTAGTAATTTGAGTTCGTCGTAATTTTTTTTCCATCTAGATAATACCGTTATTTTTGTAAATGAGTTGATGTCATTCACTCTGTGAACTATCACGTCTTGCATTAAGGGGCTTAGTTTTTTATTTACGATGATATAGTTTATGAGGCCTCTTGTGTACCATATATGTTAATCTATATCTTTTTTCCCATAAAAACTATTTGTTATAATTAGGGCCCATATATGTTGCGAATCGTCTCAATTTTTTTGTCCCTTCCAATATTTTTTAAGAGCTTTCACGAAAAGGGATAGAAAGTCTATGTTGATAGAAAAATCCGAAATTATGTCTTCACATTATCGGTATTTACGAAAAAATCATACATTTCAATGGCATTGAAATCACTAAATATTATTATTATCAGATTAGCCATTCGGCTCACACTCCCTGTAAGGGGAAATTTATTCATCCCAGATACCTACGGTATCAAAGGGATTGAGCTCTGATGGGACTCTTTCCGTGTTATCGAGCCCTAGGAGACTTAGTATGCTAAAGTATTACCCAAAAATTTTGGTCTGGACATAACCGGACATTGAGAGTAATACAGCTTTCTAGATGGTCTTGTAGAGATGTTCATTCAGACCTAGCTTTTTTATATTTTCTAGGAGATTCTTTGGAATGACTCCAGTAGTAGAGAGAATAATAGGTATTGTCTAGGTACTTTCTATTCTCCACTGTCTTCGTATTTGAATTTCCAGATCCCTGTACCTGGCTATGATTTCGATCTGTTTAATATGAAGATAATTGTTGTTATCTATCGCCACATCAATTAATGTTGTTTGTCTCTTTAGTTTATTTATAAGGTCTCTTCTATTATACGCCACTGGTTGGTTTGTAAGTACAGTGCGGTCCCAGTATAGCTTGTAGTTGTCATTTTCAAGCATTCTGTCAGGGACCTATTGATAATAAGAGAAACGGTCGGTTTGAAGAAGTCCTAGTTTGTTAGCTAGTTCTTGATGGATAATTTATCCCACTGAGTCATGGTGTTCTTTATAATGGGTACCGATAAATGGCTGGCAGCCACCGGTAAGATGTTGGATGGTTTCTTGGGCTTGACATCCATATCGGCATTTGTCATTTTGGACTTGAGGATCTCTAACAGTATATTTCAGATAATTTTTAGTTGGAATAACCTGATCCTGAATGACAAGTAGGAACCCCTTAGTCTCAGGAAACATCTTTCCTGATGCCAACCAATAGTTCGACGCTGTATTGTCGACATATTCTTGGCTGATCTCATTGAAATGTCGCCCATGCAGAGGTTTACTCATTCAGGCGCTTATTTTTTCTTGCTGAGTCAGGTGGTTTATGCGCATTTCTTGTTTCCTCAGTTTAAGCATCGTTGTATCATCTACTGCGCAAATTGCTCGATATAAAGTAGATGTCTCAGCCTGTACCTGAAGATAAGTTCTTAAATTAGCAATTTATTTATCCAATTGCTCACCTATATCCAAAAGCCATCTTCCTTCTTGATACCGCTGTAATGTTATTCTCTCTACTGCACTGCGTAGATGATGTTTTTGCGCCTTTGTGAGAAGTGTTCTTAATTTTCTATGAAGACGCTCTATATTCGTTTTTAACCACTTTATAATACCAAATGAGTAGCAGCTCAGCCCCAAAAAGGCGTACATATTTAATGCCTTAAACAAATTTTTACTATTCAGATATGGCCTATATAGTTGTTTTACTCTTCGTACGAGCTCAAAAGTTAATTAGGTTTTCATTTGTTTATGGTCAATTTTCCGCGCTTGCTTTACTCCGAGATATTTATACATATCATTTTCACCCATTACCTTGATGTTTTGGCCATCTTGCATATCGAAACCTCTATGGTGAACCTTTCCTCTAACTATATTTAGTATACGGCACTTGTCTAGTCCAAAATGCATACTGATATCACTTGAAAAAGTTTCTACAGTTTTTAGTATCTGATCTAAGTGGTTTCGAGTGGAAGCCATTAATTTCAAATCATTCATATACAACAGATGATTAGGCTTCACCACAACAGTATTGGTATTTTTGATGCTAAAACCTGAGTCAGTGAAGTTCAGTAGCTGAGATAGTGGGTTCATCGCTAGGTAGAACCACAGTGGACTCAACGAGTCCCCCTGGAGAAGGCCCTGGTTAATAGGTTTCAGTTTCGATATTGGTTTTACCAGGTATTTGTATATGAATTTTAGTCTTCCACTCTGCCATTGTATGCTTCAAAAAGTCATGAGATTATCATCGACTTTATATATTATTCAGTCATTAGAAATGACTGAGTCGATAACAAGCTGTTCTTTGCAACCCATGGAGCCCTTAGCGCATCCTTTCTGTTAAGGCTCTATGATATTGTTCAGAGCACAGTGTTGGTAGATACGCCGGGCTACACAGGATAAGAACAACTTGTACAAAGTTGGAAGACAAGTAATTGGGCGGTACTTGGCTGGATCTTGAGTGTTATTTTGATCCTTCGGTATTAGGTAAGTGGTTCCTTGAGTAAACAATGATGGTATTTCCTGTGAATTAGAAATAATATTATTAATAAATACTGTTAAAAGCTCACGAACACTTCACAACTTCTTTAGTCAAAAATTTTGAAGTCCGTCTGGTCCAGGAGATTTCCGGGTATGAAGCTCTTTGATAATGTTTGAGACTTCTTCAGTGGTGAAAGTTTCATAAGGAATATTCCTGTAGTGTTGACAGTTGTTCGTCGTGTCTTCAATCCATCCAGCATTGTTGTTATGAGTAGCTGGCGTCGAAAGTTGGTTTCCCCAAAACTTATGAATTTTTTCTTGGCTTGGGTAGGATTTATTTACATTTTCTACAGTGGAATTCAGTTTCCCATAGAAAGCCTTCTCTAAATGCTCAAAAAGTATGTTGTTGCATTTACGATTGTTACTAACTTTGTATCTCCTTAGGCGAGCTGAATAAGTGGAGAGTTTTTGTTTTAATGTGTTTAGCCAGTGTTGAGCTTGTGTTGTTTTCTGGATCATGTTATGAGTGTCTTGAAGTATTCAGAATAATTTTATCAGCTCTTTTAATTACTTTTCGACTTCTTACTTCTCGGATGTATTCCGTAATTTGTCCAATATCTCAGCGCAATAATTCGATTTTCCTCAGCAGTCTTTTTTCCAGAGTGCAATTCTGTTTTCAGTCCTTCCGATATTAGTTCCCCGTCGTATTTTGATCTTAATGCCCACAACATTAGTAATTGCTGCTGCTGCACAGTAAATCAGCATATGCAAACAATAATTTGTAACAGCGCACCTAGTTTCATACAAGAGTTTATTTTTGGTAGCGGTGGTCTGCTAGTGGGTTTGTACCATTAAACTCTTGTACGGCACGTTCCATTTCTCTTACCAGGCTATCGTGCAGCTTGTTATTATTATTATTATTATTATTAAAATTGCTATTATATTAACATTACTTAAATTATAGCCTCAGATAATCGCCAGACATGGATATCCCTCTGAAACTCATATTGTTGTCACCGAGGACGGATATTTACTACAAGTTCATCGAATTCCAAGACCAAAATTGGGAGCTTCTATTGGACAACCTATATTCTTACAACATGGTTTATTAGGAAGCAGTGCCGATTGGATAATTAACGGAAATAATACTTTAGGTAAAGTTAAAATTATCGGTTTTTCGGAGTTTTAATAATTTTTATATACGAAAAATAATTTTTAATTAATATTATATTATAAATTTTCAGTATTGTTCTGAATACTAAAATATTGAATATTATCATGTAACAACTGAATTTAGGGTCTATAAATTATCTTCTATAACTATCTTCTTTAAGTACCGTGCCCAAGTTTTAGGCGTGGGTAGCTTTCATGACGGTTTGCCGATATCGTTCACGATCTTGCCCGGCATGTAATAATTCAACTGCTGATAAGCCAGTCCATTGACGAAGGTTTGGAAGCTGGGGATTCCCGACGTAGCGAGTGCAAGTGCAATTTTATTTTGTGAGCTAATTGTTGCTAATATCAGTGAAATAAAAACGTTTTTTATGTTCCACCAGGTGCATCTAAGAAGTAAATCCCTCCTGTTTTATCATTTGTTACTTTCGTAAATGTATCAAATACATACTTCTGTTGCTCATTGACTAGTGTAAGATTTGTTCTAATTTATTATTTTAAAGTGTTGAGATTTTTTTTTGTGCAACTCTTGGTTAAAAGCATCATGTATTGGACGATTGGGCGTGGCCAGGAATAATTGACATAATAGTTTGTTTGACATTATCAAGCACATGTCCTCATTGTATGTCATCAATGCTTCATTGTAAATTTCTTCGCTTATTTGTATATTTGGATTTCCCCTTTTAATCCGTTTTTGATATAAATATCATCATTCATTTTATCTTTGTACGTGATACACAAATCATTTAAGTATGATGAGAAGCATGTAGATATATGATTATAGAAAACAATGTTTGTATTTGATAATCTTGTGATAATGATGCTAATTACAGCATCATTGAGTTTGATCCCAATGAGCGTCATTTTTTAGCAATTGCAAACGATAGCTGCTTCTCTGTATGATCCACACAAATCACCATCAAGAGTTCGTAAATGTTGTAATGATGGTCCACGTACATTGACTAAGAGCAGTCGTAAATAAAAACATTTATCATTGCTAAAATGTACTGAATAAATTCGAACAATTGCATCGGTAGAATATACATTTGGATAGATACCCTGGAACTGGTTTTCCTTGAGGATTGATTCCAAATATAATATTTCAAACCGCTGTGGAATTTAGTAAAAGGAACACATCTACACTGTTTAGATAATAGTAAGTGCTTTGCAATTTAATATAAACTTTATTGAGTAGCAATAAAGTTTAAATTGACTCTACATTCAGTTAGAAATTATTTGTATGGGAAAAAGAAAAGTGCTTTTTTGGGGTTTTCCCAGAAATTATTCGAATCTTTCTCGTCGTAAAAACTATCCTTAGACTTCAAGGAACATTTAAAAAAAAATTGTTAAGATTGGTCCATGCATTGTTGAGTTATGCCCTTACCAACACATTTTGCAATTCATTTTTATAGTATAGATTAGTGTTTGATTATTGGAATAATGTTTGACGTTAATTTTACTATTTAATAATAAATATAATCGGTTTTTGCAAAAACATTATTGAAATGAATACTTCTTATCGCTCAGTATGATGGTTTTGCACGGATTCGAAATAATATTTAGCCTAACGCGATATCGAGACGCGTGTAGTAACCTTGAAGTAATAATAAACGTCATTTTATTTTTTTGTAACTTTTTTATAATAACTGGAGAACAACTGTAGCCATTTGGGTAATTTTTTTTTTAAATATTTGTAGAAATCCGAGGAAGGTTTAACACTTATCCGAACAAGGTGGTTCCTACGGGCCCGAGGCTCCAATTCTTTTATCATAAACTGATAAAAAAACATTATTGAATTTTATGCATCACTGAATTTGTTTGAAAGTATGTTTCCTTTAACATATCATCATCCAGCCCCATTTTCATATCCATTGTTGGATATAGGCCTCCTCCAAACGTCTCCAGTTCTCTCTATCTCTAGCTGCTGCAATCCAGTTTGTTTCTATTCTCCTTAGGTCGTCTGTCCATCGGGTGGGTGGTCTGCCTCGACTTCGCTTGTCGGCTCTTGGTCTCCACTCCAATAATCTCTTCGTCCATCTTCCGTCTTCCATTCTAGCAACATGTCAAGCCCACCTCCACTTTTGTTTATTGATTCGCAGTATAATATCGTCTACGCCAGTTCGTCGGAGTATCTCCTCATTTCTCACGCGATCTTTCAAGGTCAGGCCCAGCATTGATCTCTCCATTCGCCTTTGTGTTACTCTCAGTTTTTCGGCAGTAGCTTTCGTTAAAGTTAGGGTCTCTGCTCCATAGGTAAAGACTGGTAAGATGCATTGGTTAAATGCCTTCCTTTTCAGGTGAATTGGGATATTTGTTTTAAAAATGTCTCTCATCCTTCCATGTGCCACCCATCCCAACGAGATTCGTCTATTTAGCTCGCAGGTTTGGTTGTCTCTGGTTATTCTAGTTTCATGACCCAAGTATGTGTATATATCGATTAATTCTACCTTGTTATTTATGATTGTTGTGGCATTTTCATATATATTTTTGACTATATTACAATATCTGTAATCGACCCTGCAATCTTGTAGTGCTCTTAAGATGGACGGTAGTTCCGCTGTATCAAACGCCTTTTTAAAGTCTACAAATATCAATGCCAAGGGACGGTTATATTCGTTAGTCTTTTCTATCAGGGTTTTTGGGCATTGCAGGTGATTGTTTGTGCCGTAATTAGGTCGAAAACCGGCTTGTTCCCGAGGTTGGTAAAAATCCAGCTTTGTCTCTAATCTGTTCGTTATTATTCGGGTGTATAATTTATAATTTATAAAGTTGGTTACGGAGACTGATTGGTCTGTATCTTTCCAGGTCTGCTATATCTTCCTTCTTGTGTAAGAGTACAGTTATTGAATTATTCCACTTTGTTGGGATATTTTGATATGAGAAAATATCCCTTTAACATATACTTCATCTAATTTACTTACCGTTGCACGTCATTATCATTGACAGAGATCGAAGTTGACATAGTTGCCAAAGTATAAAAAAATCCTGAATCCATTATAAATCAAATAGGTCACATAATTATTGCAAAAGTAGATTATACAACAAAACAAATGAATATTACACACACTAATAATATTATTAATAGCAATTAATAATACACACTAATTTTGTTTTAAAAAGATCTTCTTCTTCTTTAAGTGCCGTCTCCCAATCGGAGTTTGGATATCATCATCACTGTCTTTACTTTATCTACTGCTGCTCTAAAGAGTTTTATAGAACTGCATTTAAACCAGTCCTTTAAATTCTTCAAGCATGACACTCTTTTCTTGTATTATCAGACTTAGCAGATTATATTGCTGTCCTCTCATTACGTGTCCCAGATATTGTAACTTTCTTATTTTTATTGTGTTTATTATTTCGCATTCTTTGCCCATATCTCGCAATACTTCCGTATTAGTTTTCTTCTGTGTCCATGCTATTCTAAGCATCCTCCTGTAACACCACATTTCATACTTATTTATGTGTTCTTGCTTCAATGTTTAGCTTTCAAGTACATATTGCAGTATCGAAAACACTTAGCATCTCAGTGCTCTTACTCTCAGTTCTAATCTAAGATCTTTGTTGCAGAGAATTGTTTTCATTTTTACAAACAAATTTCTTGGTATTTCTATCCTTATTTTGGTTGTTTGATCATTAATGTCTGAAATCCAGGTTCCTAGGTATTTGTATTTATCAACCCTTTCTATTGGTACATTTCCCAAATGTATGTTTGTTTTTATATTTGTTTTCTTTGTTATTATCATGCATTTGGTCTTTTTTATATTCATTTTTAGTCCATATTTTTCACAGAAACTGTTTGTTTTGTTTAGCAGTAATTGGAGTTGTTCAGCAGAGCTTGCCATAATCACGGTGTCATCTCCATATCTTATGTTGTTAATAGATCTTCCGTTAATTATTATTCCTTCACTTTGAGATAGTAATGCTTCTTCAAAAATGGCTTTACTATAGATATTAAATAGTAATGGGGACATAATACATCCCTGCCTAACTGCTCTCCTGATTTCATATTCTGGACTGGGTTCGTTATCTATTACGATTTGTGCTCTTTGATTCCAGTAGAGGTGTGTTATTATTCGTAAGTCCCTGTGGTCTATGTTTTGTCTTTAGAATTTGGACTAATTTTTCATGTCTTACTTTGTCAAATGCTTTTTCAAAATCTCTTTTCAAAAAAGAACGGGTTTTATTAACTAGGTTAAAATATAAACCAAGAAGTATTCACTTTAAAATTCAAAATAATAAAGTACAAAAAGTGTCAACACCGCAACTGTCAAATAAGTGTTACTAATTTATGCCAAAATGTCACCTTCGTTCGATTACAGTTACAGTGTGTTCCGAACAAATGTTTTTCATAAAAACGTTTTATAATGCATTTATACAAATTAAATGAAACATATAATTGGGTATTTCTTTAAGTTAATATTAATAGAAATATTTAAATATTATTTATACGCGTATATAATAAAATATGTCTAGTGGCTGTATTGCCAGTGTACTCGGCAAAGTGATTCTAAAAAAGAACACACCTACCGCCTAAATATTTTGAGTTGGTATCATGTGACCTCACGAGCTATGATGCGGATGACTTGCAAGGGTAAGTAAATTAGATGAAGTATAGTAATAAGCTATTCAAAATATTTACTATCATTTTTGAAATTATTGCGTCAAAAGAGTTTTGTCACATCAAAGAGCAATACGGACCCGTCGGACCCTATTTGTATTAATACCTAAAGTCTAAATCTTTATTATAGAAGTTAATCTGGCAGGTAATTTTTTTGTGGATTATATAAACGACTTTTATTATTCCGGAAATCCAATATTAAAGGCTTAACGTGTAACAAACAATGTAAACATCTCTTTGATGTGAACATCAAATGGTTGATTGAATTGATGTGAACATCAATAAGTGTTATATCTATTCTAAATGAATTTTAAAAACTGATAATCATTGTTGGAATGCAATAATATTGTTAGGTAGGTACCT